CTGGCTTTTTCTTTTAAAATAATGGTGGATTAAATAAAGATGTAAGGTAATATGTGATGGTTTTACACTGACCACAAGAGAATAGGCTACTAAACACATTGATTCTGATCCCGCTGGCACTAGTTGCTTGTTTTGGTTTAGTTTGCAGAGCCGAAATGGGGTAAATCAGTGGTTAGACAAACCCTTACAAAATACACAAGTTTACTATTTCGGGTTTTTCTACAGTACAGGCTTAACTTTATTTGCAAATTCATTGTGTGTATTACATTCATGCTGTTCATCACTGTCCAGAATTTGACTGTTAGAAAAAAGCAATTTCTCTGCTAGTATTGGACGTATTTGACAGTTTCCCCCTACATATAACTACAAGTAACATTCGAGACTGACATGGCATCCCCTATAATAATGGTGAAATCTCCCTTCAAATGTCTTCCATAAAGTGAGCTGAAATGAAATGATGAGGTTATCATGGCTTTTTGGCATTAAAAAACAGCACTGCATCTCTGTGAGCAGGGTCATACTCTCCCTCTATAATACCAGCCTCACTTTAGCACACAGGTGTCAGAGAGCTGCCTGCAGCTGAAAGTAACCCTTGCAAAGCAGCTGCCAGACAGTCGGTATAATCATGAAATCCAAGAAGGGAAATCATCTCTCTCAATAAAGTACCAATATTTTTGTCAAATGGCAGAGAGATATCATCAAAATGACCTGTTTTGGAAACATGAGGTTGGTAAGATTTCAATTAATAAATGATGTTTCTGTCTATCGAGATGTAATCACTGAATTGTCTTCACTCAATTGACACTTGTGACTGCACCTCCTGTAAATCATAAAAAGTATTAGAACACAAAACCATCTCAGCATACAATCAGTAATACTGAATTGGCTTCCCAATTAGACTGTGGTGAAACACTTAATGGTTACCTGCACTCTGCTCACACGCAATGTTTTTCCTAGTTCAGGAAGTGTAACATAAAAATAATACAAGTAGCTCGGGGTTGTTCGGGGTGTATTATAGGCGTACGAAATGCAGTGCCTTGACACCACAGACTGGTGTTCAAGATCCTGAGTCCTGAACAACAAAAGCACTTTGGTTTAAATCAGGCAAAGATTGTGATTTTGGTTTCATTTTAATCAAGTGAACACATCCTGTCTCATGCATCAAGTCACTACCAACTTTTCAATATTTAACCATGATTTTATTGTTATGAGCACAAATAAAATACCATGGCAGGTACCATTTTGCAAAAGTATCAACATTTGTTTGCATTTGTTTACATTATCTTTATGAGACAGGTTTGCACCAGACATTGTTTCAGCTGAGATTAGTCAAGGTAGCTGGATAAACATAAAATCAAGAACATAGACTGTTCAGGGATAGAATTGTGGCCTAGTCACATGATTGAGAGGGATTGAGAGAAACACCGTTGTTCACTGGGTTCAGCTTCAACATCTCACTCCATCTTATTTCCTCTCTTATTCCCCGTTCTTCCATCTCGCTTCTTGGATTGTGCCTTTCAGTTTGCCTCTCTCCTATCTCTGTGCTCCATCCCTTATAACCTTCACTGCTACATTATTGTCCTGTTATGTTTAATACATCTTTATCATGTGTGTCCCTTTACTCTCTCACCCTCACCCCTCCCTCATTTCCCAATGTCTCTCTCCCCCTGTTGTCTCTCTCCATCCCTCTTTTCTTCCACCTCGCCCCTCTCCTCGTACCCTGGATAGCTGCTGTAATGAACCCATAAATTGGAGCAACACAGCGGTGGCTACAGGTCGGCTTGGGGGAGGTTGGATATAGGGGGGGGGTTGAGCCTGACAGTGAGAGAGAGGTAGAAAGAGGAGGGAGAGCTAGAGGGGGGACCAGGGCAAGGATTCATTCCTGCAGACAGGGGAAGAGATATGACTCCAGTTGGAGAAGAGACAGACAACATGGGGAGAGATGGTGGAGGAGGAGGAGGTGCAGAGATGGAGGAAGAAAAGAGACAGATAGAGGCAGGGGGGAGGGGTGTTGGGGGAGGAGGCTCCATACATTGGTTTCAGGAATTAATTTGCACTAGGTAAGGTATAGCCTTGGAACATGCCACCCCAGTCAGATGAGAGGTCCTGTGGAAGGGAGACTGATCACAATGGCAGCAGATGGACAGTAGCAGGGCTGGGGATTCAGGGGAGCAGGATATGAGCAAAGGGGGAGGTTTATGGTAGGGTGACAGGGGTGACAGGGGTGCAGGAAAATATAACAGGGACAGATGAGGGCCAGACAGACAGGCACACAGACAGACAGACAGCCAGACACCAAGCTCAAATGTACTGTGAAACACAAGCGGCCACCTGGCAACTGTGATGGTCCCACTGGAATTTGGGATAATGATGGTGCTGGGTGCTAAATATCATCAGTGTGTGAATGCTCATCACTTTGCAGCATTTATAATTACTCTGGTGGTGCCGAGCTAATACATATTGGCAGCACTGTCATATTCATTAGCAGATAAGATTCCACAATGTCTCATCTGCAAATGAAAAAGTTTGGAGTAATTGTAATTTCTTTTTAAATCACAAACAAGCTTGCAAACGACTCTGCCTATGAGCTAATACATTTTCAGTCAAGCATAAACGTTTTTTTTAACTAATTCTCAGAGATTGGTGGTATGGTTAAATGTCTATCCCATATTCCTTCTGTAAAATAGGCTGCATGACTTTATCTCTGTTACATTGAAATGCGGGGAAAATTAGTTGTTTACTTAGTTTCCGACTCCAAGATATAATTTCTCATATATTGATTCCAGTTTAACTTTCACATACGCAGTTTGCTAAGTTTTTACAGTACAGTTGACACCTGAAGCCAATATAACTGAGGGCGACAGGAAGGAAGAGAAGGCAGGATGGGTGGAGCGGGATATGAATACTGTTGACTGTGGTGCTCAATTTGCCATGCTGAAAAAGCATTAAGCTGCATGAAGGCAAAACTGTGCTTAATACCATCAAAGCAATCAAAGGCAGGAAAAAGGCAAATGTATAAATAGCAAAAAAAAGCACACAGTCTCATTTGAAGCCATGCAAAATATCAAGAACTGCTCACAAGAAACCAACACAAGAAAATCAAACAAATTTCATTAGAGCTGTAAAAATAGAAAAGAAAAAGACATTGAGCTGAAATTGAAATAGAACTGATAAATACTGAAACAAGCTGCAAAAGTGTCTTGTAAAAATCATAATAATAATGATCATACAGAAAGAAACAGCAGGAAGCATTGTTTTGAAATGTGAAGCCCTGTTGCAGTTACCTGAGCTTGGAATGCCCACATCCCCCCCTAATAATAAGAACATTATTTTGTATAATTTAAAGACAGCTTTAGCTTTGACTTAGTTTGATTCTTAGAGTAAATCATTCCTCACCTTTTCTTGTGAGTCTTGAGAAATATTACTCCTGCTCAGGTAAAGGCAACAGGGGGAGCGACAGCAGGTTGTGATGCTGGCTGTACGCATGCTGTCTGAAGTCTCTGCCACCATTGTGATTGGATCTACCCACTGCTGCCTTCCTGCTTCCAGCTGATACCCTGCCTCTGTTCAGTCTGCAGACAGCCGACACTGTGTTGAGGTAGCCACCTTTTTTAATGAACGTCATTTTGAGATACGGTATGTCTTAGGCTAGTTCCGCTCTGTGCCTCTCAGGTATGAACATTGCATTTAGGTGGCAACAACACTGTCCTTTGTGTACGTTGAAATAGTTGATAGACATTGGGGTGGGTGAGGGGTTGTTGTGTTGTTTAATAAAATGCTGGCTATGTTATGTTAATTAATATTGTTCCTTCTATTATTTATTATCTTCTACTCCTCACTGAAAGCTCACTTTTTACATAGCAATGTTACACCTGTAAAACCCTTCTAACCGTCTGGCTGAAATATTACTCGATCTGCTCCAAAATCTTTTTTTATTGTAACAGAGAAAAATGTTTTTATTTTGAATTCAGAGGGCTGTGAGGATTTGTTGGCAACATTCTGAAAACACATTCAGCAAGCTGTAAGTAATGTTAATTGACCTTCTTGCTTTGTTAAAGATCACTAGGTAAATACATTGTCGAAAATCGGATGCTTGGCACTTTGACATGCAAATAATGAGGAACAAACTAGTTTTTATCCTGAAAAGACAAACTGCTGCTCAGATTTTTATAGAAATGATATTGAGAAAAGGATTTTAGTCTTAGCTAGCTGCTCTGTTATTTTGCTGTCTCTTTCTTTAAGTAAAGTATGTCTAGAAAATGTGAATATATCACCATTATTATTACCTTAGGGCAAATGTCGACGCTGGTAAATGTTGCATGTTTAATTGGGATCAGTAAAAGTTCTATGTATTTTATTAAAAGACAAAACATGGATGAGCAGCACTGCAGTGACCTTTTTTAATTTCCCTCTCTGATGTGTGTTTTCCTACTCATCTCCTCTCCTACTCTCTTGTTCTCTTTGTCTCATATATCCAGCGAGCCGTCCTTGAGGCGGTACAGCAATAGGCCGGTTGTTAACACAGGAGAAAAGGGCGTTCAATGTCATGTCACTGTGTCGCAAAGCATGACAGAGCCGGGGCCCGGGCCATCTTCTCAGGAAATAAATACATTGCCATTTTCCTTTTCACAGTGTAATGGTCTGGATATTACATCTCCTGTGGGACATTACGACCCATGGATAATAAATCCATCCAACAGGGTGTGCGTATGCGTGTGTGTGCCTGTGTGTCTTAATGAGGGCAGAATCTGGTGAGAGTCTGCTGCATATGTATGTAGCGCGTAGGTGTGTTTGCGTACGTTTCTGCAGGGGGTTTTACGTTCACAGTGTGAGGCAATTTGTCCCCTAGAGAGAAAGTGATCCACAATCTCTACACCTCGTCAGCTGGAAGCAGTAGACAGCCATAAATCTCAATTACACAACCCCCCCCCCCCCCCCCTCCCTTGCCACAGGTGACAATGGATCAACTTGACTGCTCACTGTTGTGTTCCAAGGCTTACCATTGGCTTCTGGCTGAGTCTGAGAGGGCACGGCTACGTAGGGGTCCTCCCCTTTGTCTGAGCTCATGGGGGGGTCCTTCCGCTCAACCATGCGGCCCCGCCCCAGGGGGACCTCGGCGGCCACGGGTAGGGCCGAGGTGGGCAGTGAGAGGGTGTGAGGATGGTGGCGGTGATGGTGGCCTGCCGGACACAACACAGGTTAACTAAGGCTCCAGGCACACAGGGACAGGCTTCAGTGCATGTGAGCACAGGCCAGCAGGGGGGCACGCACACACTCAAACACACACACACACATACACATTTTCCTACTTTGAAGACTACATTGACACCGACACTCATGCACAAACACACACAAGGACAGCGGCTGGGCTGTGTGAGGCAACAAAGTGTTTTTCCTTGGTGACCCTGGGAAACTCATTAGCAAATGTGTGTGTGTATGTGTGTGTTTCTTAGGATAGATGTGTCCTTTCTTTTTTTCTGTCTGCCTCGCTCTCTTCCCTCCTGCTCTGACTGACATGTCAAAGCTCTGCTGGGCCTGTCAGAGCAGTGCAGAGTACAATCACATTGCTCCACAGTCACCATAGGGTGCCTACCTCTGAAGGACAAGAGACAAACTTTCTTTCCAACGCTCGTTTTTAAGAAGTCTTTCTGTAACTTTTCTCCAACGGTAAAGCTCTGATTCCCTGCCCCATTTCTCAATCTTTCTGTTACTTTGAGTTTCACTTTTTCAATCATGTAGCTGTTTTCAGTTTGTTTGATATATACAGATACATTCAATTCATTAATGTTTGAGTTAAAGCTGATACAAATTGTCCAAAGAAAGAAAGGCAAAACCCTAGACCCACTACAGACCGTGGCGATGTCTGTTGCTGCATACTGTCATCAGTATAGATTTTTATATTAAAGGTCCCCGGTCATGCTTTTCCGGTTATTACCCGTCCCATTGTGTGTTATGAAGGTTTTTATTCATGTAAACGGTCTGCAGAGTCACAAACCCTCAAAGTACGAGTAAAACTCTAACACAGAAAAGACCTGTCTATGCTGCCCCAGAACGCCTCGTTGGAGATTTTTCTTCCTGGGTACAGTGACGTGACCATACCCAAATCGACCCACTGGTCGAAATGGACCAATCCGTGGAGCTCCAACAAGCCGTTTAGGACAGAGAGTGAATACACATGCTATACAGAGATGCTGTATGAGAAACCAATGTGAGTTTGGAACATTGCACAATATAAATCTAGTCTAGTAGACCTCAACAATGGAATTATGATCAGTAGAAATGGCCATGACATGGGACCTTTAAAACTAAAAAGGTGCCAGATTGAAAACACGCATCCAAGAGGATATAATATAGTGATGCAAGACCGCAACCAACAAATCCTACTCATCATGCCTTTAAATGACAACTATTTTAATCAATCAAAAGATTTGTTTTTATTTTTTTCAAGTTGAAATGCCTAATATTATCTGGTTTACACTTCTCAGCTGTAAAATGTTCTGCTTTTCTTTGTCATGTGACATTCAACTGAATTTCCTGAAACTTGACGTTTTCTTTGTGTTTTGGATTCAATCTTGGACTCCAGGAAAATGAGCTTGTGTTTTTTTTTACACTATAAATACAATTATTGAGGAAAGATCTGCGATTAATTTGGAAATGGAAACGATTATCTCCCTCTGATCCCTTCCTTTTTAATATCTATTGTCTACTTATCTCAGCTTCACATTACCTACCTTCTCTTCCTTCCTCTCTGTGCTGTTCTCCTATTTTCCACATATTCTCACTTTCCCCTGGTTTTAACCAAAGATCTCCCGAACGTTTAATATCCGCACAGCCAGTAATCTTTATTTAGTAAGGCCCTCAGCAACATGGCTAGATCGATCCTTAGAAAGATGTCATTAACATTTAATGAATTTTCTCGGATTTGACTCCACCCTGTAATTACATTTCTTAATGGCTAAATGAACCACCGGCCAACAGTTGCAGAGGGTCTCATAACACAGCCAGGAAGTTACACTGATGATGAGACTATAACAAGCATAGCACACACAGGATGTCTCTCTGTGGAAACTTTAGGTGATCTAACACCTTAAAGTGACAATTACAACAAAGTACTCTTTCATCCGTGGATGATGGATCATACCTATCACGTCCCCGTCTATCACTGCATGGCTCTCAGACAAAGTGGTTTTTTCCACATCTTCTTTTTTCCCCTCATTTTCTTTCATAAGCAGAGTTTTGCACACGCTTTGTCTGACTATTTATTTTTGAACCATGCTAATCACATTCCCATCCCACATGCTAAAACTTAAGCCACCGTACACCATTTTGCAGAAGCTACACACTGTATTTAACATAATGTATTTAAGCCACACGTTAAAAAAATAAAATCCCCCTAGATGAAGAGTGACAATACTTTTATCAACAGCCTCTTCCGAGCTCAACCCCCAATTCCCATTTTGATACGCTCTCTCCAAGGAGGAGGTGACAGCAGTGTGTGTTTGCAGATGTGCGAGTTCCTTTTCAATATGTGTTTATGCTTGTGTTTGAGGAGGGGGAAGAGCATTTTCAGGGGGCTAACGTAGATGCTGCTGGTAGACTACACTCAACAGACACCCACACCACCCAGAGCCTCCTCCTTCTCCGTTTGGCGTGGCAATCATTAAAATGATTTATTTAACTATTGGCCCAAGGCTGAGAGATTAGTGTGACAGGCCTATTTTATAATTCATTCCCCCACCGCCAGGGGAAGTGCAATTCAGGCAGATGACACACATAGAGAGAGAGCTCGGAGCCTCATAGCTCCTCCACGGATCAGAAAGGGAAAAAAAAGCCCTAAACTGCCGACGGATGCACATCCCTCTCTTTCTACAGATTAAAAGGGAGGAGAGGATGTCTAGTCTGAAGTAGAGACGAGGAGAATGAAGAGGGGGCATTTATTTATCTTCAAATCCATATCAACCACTGACAGATAGATGGAGGGGCTGGTGCAACGGCGGAGACTTTGTTTGGGAGGTTGTAAACTGGGTGTTGTCTGCGTGTGTTTGTGTGTGCCTGGAAACACACAGCCAAGCCTTTGGGAGCACATTCAGCACTACAGGGGTGCACACCAATCCAGATGCTTTATTTCAAAATGTTTCTGACCCTCGTCATCCAAAAAGGTTCGATAGAATCACGTTGGGGGTACAGCCACAGGGGGGAGAACTTTAAAATAGATATTCTTCTAATTCTGTATGGATCTGACTGTTTCTATCTGGCAGCTCCAAGGTATAGGTGTATGAGAGAGAGAGAGAGATTCATTTCAATTCACCAAACTAGTGTGCTCTCCTGTTAGATAAAAATAAGGTGGATGTGTGGGTGCTCTGGATGAGAGTTACTTTGCTGCAGGCTCATCACATCTGTTTTAATGACAGTATGTCACTGTGATTGTTCTCTGTAGCATGTTTTTAGGATATATGTGTGCAAATATATATATATATATATAAATATTTGCATGTTTTGACTAGCCTTTTTGAGCAATGAATCTGTGCCGACCACATTATGCTCTGGCATAGTTGGCTGAAAAATATCTGATCTTTCTTGACCATAAACAGGCCAGTTAATCCTTCTCTCTCTATCTCTCTCTCTGTTCACACATGTCCTGCTTAGTGTGCACACTGAGGCATTTCTACAAAGTCAAGGCTTTAAACCTCCAACTACCAGACCATCCAATTAGCGAAGCAAAGGTCAGGGCTAATCGATTATATTGCACAGGGAAAACACAAAGGAGCGGGAAGTTGGAACAAGAAGAAAAAGGAGATCTAATGGAACTAATAGATTTAGCATTATCATCGATACAGAAAGATTTTTAATTCTACTTTTCTGATTGTAATTCTTCGTCCTCTATGCTACACACCAAAGTGGCTAGATAAGGGGAAACACTATGAGGAGTGGAATTGAAAGACTGTGCTTAAATGTTTCATTACCTTCGTAACTGGAGGGAACGTCTATCAAAAAGAGGAACGAAATGAATTCAGTTAAACCATGAGTCATTAATAACCCGTCTTTACACATGTGGGAGGAGTTTTCATTTCCTTGAGAGGGTAAGATTGATTGACTAGATGAAGAGGTGTGGCTGAAGTTAAAGAGTTAGGGGAGATGAAATGCAGCTCCTGTCTTTTATTTGATTGCCTCTACAATATATGTGGGATACTTACCGTTCAGCGCCACGAAGGTGTCTGGAAGAAGAAGAAAAGAAATGAGTGGAAACGTGTTATTGCTTGCAGTAAAGAGAGCTTATGCTTTAACATGATCAAAAGCCATGACTTTTAAAGTAATTCAGAATCGACTGGCTGCTCGATATTCACCTAACTTTAAATCAGAGTTGATCTATAGCTTCTTCAGGTAATGAACACTGGCTTCCCTTGACTAAACACAATGATGAAATGGATGGGAAAATGCACTACCTTTATTTACTATAGGTAAACAGTCGAAATTGAGATGAAATGGAGAAAGATAAGTGATTGAAGGTCAAAAATGTTTAAAGTTCTCTTCTTCAAACTAAGCAACTGAGTATAAAATATACAACATATAACATTTGATACATCTAAACAGTTATAATGAACATGATCAAATATGCATTGTAGAGTAAAAGAGGCCTTTGTGACTTGTGAGGCTGACTTGTTCTGTGTTTCTAAATGAGCCCTGTGACTGCTCACAAGTCACATCCCTTCCCTGTGTGTCGCTGAATATTTGTGTGTGTTTACGTAGTAAATTGCAAGAAGGAATCCAGTCTTTGCCCAAGTAGACACAACACTCTATTGACAGGGGGACCAGAGAAACAGCGGGGTAAGGACAGAGGAGGGTGGGAGCAGAAAGGGACAGATGGATGGAAGAGGCTGAAAGAGAGGATTGTGAGAACAGGAACAGACGTGGGAGAAAAAGGTGACAGCAGCGAAGAAGGAAACGGAGGGCCGAGAGAAGAGGGAGACTGATTTAACAGGGAAGAGAGGAATAGTAGGGGGGTTTAGAGAAGGGAAGGAAAGATAAGAGTGAAGAGGGCCTGCTTACTTTGGCAGTCTCCCAGGCCATCTGTGTTACCCTGCTCCACGTCCTGCTCAAAGGCTGATCTGCGGGGAACAGAGACATCATGGTCAGCAGTGGAAAACAGGCCAGGCCATGCAGGCTCACCACACCTAACAAAGTAACAAAGCTATAGGAAAGCTTACTACAAAAACACCCAACACCACAGCGTATGCTTGCACACAGTGTAGGCTGCAGAAAGCCCTATACTGGAACAGAATCAAAGAACACCTAGCAGGTGCCCTGGAGGCCTAAAATCAGTGGTTAGAAAGAATGCTGGCAGGCTAGTAAATCCATAGCTGGCACAGGACTCTTCGCCAGAAGTGTTGATATAAATAGATTTATTTGACTGTAATAAAATAATGTAATAGTTCAACAAATGTATGTATGATAAATATGAAGCTAACATCAGCAGCCAGTTAGCTTGACTTAGCACAAAAACTGGAAACATGGGATATCCAGAATGTATTTTCACTATCAAAACATTACATTTTGTTGGTTTGACTTGTACAAAAACCAGTGTAACAACAATTTGTCTTTTTTATGGTTATGTGCTAGACTACGTGGCTCTCAGCAGTTACCAGGCAACCAGCAGAGACCCCAGTAATGTACTGGTCCTGGCCAACAAATAGTCAGGTCCCGTAAAATTAAACAAGTGAGATATAACATATTAATGACTGTGCTGCTGGTGTTGATTTGTTAACTTTGGACGGAGTCAGGCAAGCTGTTAACCCCTGTTTCAAGTTGCTATGCTAAGTTAAGCTAACCTTCTGCTCTTTCCAGCTTCAGATGTATGTATATATTCAATGTTCTGTACAGACATTAAAGTGGGATTGATCTTGGCAAGAAAGCAAATACGCAGATATCCCAAAATGTCAAACACTATCTTAAAACAAATATAGAAGAAAGAAGCGAACCCGTTTATATAGAAAATTTCTTTCGTCTATAATTCTTTCCTCTGCTTCTCAGTATTTGACATCATAAAGGTATGTAGTAGAGATATGTGGCTGTAGTCCCAATCACATGGGCACAGACCAGGGCAGTGAGGGGTAACCAGGCTTGAGAGCCATCATATGACACAGAGGGAGAGCGTTTCGGAGATGTTGTTTTCTGATGCAATCTGCACAGAGACCTGTTTTCTTCCTGAAAGACCACCAAGCAGGCAGTAAGGAGATCTGTGAAACAGAGCGGACCAACTGTCAACCAGGATCACAGTCACGCATGACAGCTTTTCACAGTCCTCCTCAACTCCCCCCTCGCTAGTCCTTCTCCTCCTCCTGTCCACCCGCCTCTCATCTTCCTCACCCTCCACTGGTCACAATTATAGCATGAAGAAGAATGATTTTCCAAAACAGCAGTGCCCACCCCTTATCCCATGATCAGAATTGGAAGTGTGCACCTGACAAGGACAGGAGATTTTAGGATGAAAATACAATTGAATGTCTGCTTTAATGTTCACAAATCAGAGTCACTTTTCAAGTATATTTACAAAATGTAATGCATTTATTTGCTATTAATCTTTTCCTCCAGTTTCAAAGACCATCAATTGGAACGGATATGGTACATTTGCCCTGGTTGATAAGTAATTTCCCTACAAAAGCAACAACAATAACAGCCACACAAACAACAACACTGACAACACCAAAACACTGGGTCATGGTTTTCATGGTCGATAATAACGTTACAACCTACGGTGAGACTGTGTTAAGATGAAGATTACAAGGTTTGAATCCCATTGGTCTCGAGATGAATTTACAATGAGCAGTCACACTACGGATGCAGTGTCTGGGCACGACTTGGCACATGTGAAAGTGAATAGCATGATCCTCTGGTAAAGGGTTCAGGTCCCCTTGCGGCTGCATTATAGCAACAGAAGTGCAATGAGCTCAAGAGTGACACTACAGGCGGTTCAGCTCAGGGTTACGATCCCACTGCATATTTAAATCGGATTCAAACTGCACCGTACATAACTGGAGGCAACGTGAAGCCACATTTTATATCATCTTGCATCAGATGTGATTATTATGTGAGATGTGTGGTTGCACTGAAGGGACCTAGTTGCTGAAATGCAGGTCAGGCAAATTCTTATTAATTATTCATATCAGAAGTGTAAGGGGAACCGGGACCTAATATGCTGTACATACAGTGCGGAGTACCTATGCATAATGCTTCCTCAAAGCCGCCCATTCATTTTAATATAAAATGGAATACCTGCATGCTCAGACTTCATTAATCATGGTTTCACCAAGAAGTAAGTCAGTATCGGTGTGCAGATTTAATCAATGTAAGACCCCACCTCTGATCCAGAGAACAGTCAGGGCTGTGGCATTGGATTGAATGATTAACCTCTTAAGCCCTGAGCCTGTTTTTCAGGTCTCAGGCTCGAAAATGACATTCCCAGAACAAATGACCATATCTTCCCTTCTAAAAGGCTTAAATTAATAATCTGTATTCTCAAAGTAATGATAAACCTGTGAGTTGGATGTAGAAAAGTCAGAATCAATATAGATGTTTTTTATTTTAAAGAAAATTCAGATTTTACATAGTAAAAAACTGTAAATGATAGTGTCCGTCCAAAAATTATTTTTTACTTATAGTGAAAACTACCCTTGGATGATGGGTTAGTAGACTAAAAGCTTTAGGAATCCAAAGTACAACATATAATAAGTACCCTGTATCAAGATTGATGCAAAACAAGTGACATTTGACCTTTTTAGAGAGATTTAGCCAAAAACCCCCACTTCTGGGGTCATTTGGGTGGATTTGACCTATCTCTGGCCCCCCTTGGTCGATTTTGATGAATGAAATCTCTTTATAACCGCTAGAGCCAATGGAATCGAGGGAAAGTTATATACACACCAAAACGTTAACAAATAAGGAGTGAGAGTGACGCGTTACCAAAACCGGAAGCTGCATACACTCTGGTGGCTACCATTAGCAGCTAACCGATTTTTACATAAAAAATGGAATTATGGATTATAAATAATTTCAACAGTTGTAGCATTTTTTTTCTTCGTTTTAATGCCATTGAACACGTCTTTTGACCTAATTGACAGCTACGGTGAGACAATCTGCCGTAAAAGCTCCGTAAAGGTACGTGTTGTGATGTCTGTGTTTGCTTCCCCTGTCGCAAGTTCGGATCGCTCAGTGATGATACTATACCTAAATAATCAGTGGAGTCTCAGCTTTAATCTGCTATATTGTATGTGCAGCTACGATAAGTGATAAGGGTATTTTTATCTTGAATTGTGTGCCGCAGTGCGTTAGAATTTTTTCGCTCAGGGGTCATTTAGACGCTTCTTATGAGACTTGTGTTTTGTTTTGGTAAAAATGGTTCATATCTTCAGTTAGCTGAGATTCTTCCCGTTAATCTGGTGCTACACATTAATAGTTTCATAAATGTTAAGAAGCCCTGAGACATTATCTCGAAAACAAAACGGTAGGAGGGGTCCAATGGGGGGACCGCCGTGCTTAAGAGGTTAAGAAATATTTAATAATATGCTTATCTGTTGTCAGTTAAACACTAATGTACCTAGTTTACATAATGGCAACCATAAAGAATATAAAGCGATAACATGCAGGAACAGGGGGTAACTGGGGACCATATTGCAGGAGACCAGAGTGCAAGCTGTATATGGGCAGTAGGTATGAGCGGCATTACTCCACATGGGAAAGCTGGCACGCTTGCGCTGAGGCCAGATGGAAGAAGAAAGGAGGGGAGGCATGCAAGAGAGAAAGAAAATGCCAAAAGGAAGATACAAAAAGAGAGATGATAAAAATAGACATACAGACAAGGATGGGCAGGTAAGAAGATAGATAGATTGCGGTAAAGTGGAAACATTGAAAGACAGACAAGGACACAGAAAGAGATGCTGCAACCGGCTTTTCATCTTAATGAGGAAGAGAAAAGAAAGAAGAAAGAAAGACTGAAGTTAAGATAGAGAACTTTCCTCCCTGCAGGGACCTGTTTGTACGAGCAAACCTTGTTATTTAACACACAAAAAACCTCTAACTCTTGTTCATCCGTCCTTCTGTCAAGCCTGGAAAAAGCTTTGAAAAGCTCACCATGGAACCTACCGGGCCTAATCCCCCGCTCTCTCACTCAGAAATATTGTACAGTAAAGGGTGGAGGTCATTTGCCCTTTTAATACCTCTGTGTCGGCTTCAGCTCCAAAGTGGAACCTCAATCAGAACAACAACTGCAGATTTATGGAATAATAATAGGATAGTTCGACGTGTGTTTTTCGAGGACAAGCTTTGTTAGTACTTGTGGGTATGTGTGCATTTGGTGAATTGCCGTGCCAGACCAATCATTTTGCAGCAGGGGATCAAATTCATTCAACGTCAAATAGCCACTGGAGCATTGGTCCTTTTGTTATGACTTCATCTGTAAAATCTTTTTCCCCCCACAAAACTCCATATGCTGTTGGTTCAGAAGCATAATCTGGTTCTGTGTCATAACTTCAGCCACAAATTATAGTTACTGCGACCATACAGCGTTCCCCAGCCCTGAGTCGCCGACCCGAGCTTGGGGCAAACAACACTTTCCTTCCTTTCATCCTTCCAATAGCCCTTTCAGCTGAAGGAAATTGCACTTACACACCATTAAATTAGAAAGATCACAGACATGACAAATCGAGAGGGGAATGCCACCAGACATGTCAGAGAAGGTAGGGTACTTGGAAAAACAAAGTGTCTTAGAAAGCACATGTGTGTCAGTCTTTTTAAATGGAAAATCTTACACCATGAATGCAGACTATTCGAAAAGGAACATTGACTCAAAAAGTGACAATATCTCAAATGGACTTAATTCCACATTTCAAAGTTATTACAGGTATAATAATGTTAAAAGGAGCTGCTGCTTCCTGAAGTACTTTTCTAAACTCTTGATAAAACCTAAATGTTGCTAAATATAGAAGCTCTGGTCTCCTGAATAAAGCAATTATTCAGCTTAATGTTGCAGCCAACAGTAAAGACTACAGAAACTTAGTTTTTGAGAAAGTCAATAGGGCAGCAAAATAGAATACAGCCCTCATTCATTTACAATATTTTAAATACATCAAAACAACTGTGACATAAATGGATAATAAACAATATTTTGATATCTGAAATGTTACTTACTTGATGTTGTCGACAACCTGTTTGCAGGCTCCTTCTGACACCCAACCACAGTACGGGTCTCTGGAGGCTATGCAAGACCTGAATGTGACAAACACACACACACACACACACACACCATCAGCCCCTATGTTATTGTAATGTTGGAATAATGCTGTCAAAACAATTTTTCTTTTTGTGAATCAACGATTTCATGTGCAGACGTCAAACGTACTTCTTGCATCTTCCATGTCTTTCACAGCGAGAGAGCGGCACTTTAACAACACAGGAGGAGAAAGCGACCCACAACGTGTGAATCTTGCTGTCTATCTGCATGCCAATGATACGCTTGTCGTCCACACCATCTATACTGCACCTGGAAGAGAGAAAAAAGAGGATAAAACTAGATTAGTATACAGTATAGTCTCTCCTTCAACTATCTAGTTATTTATGGAGAAAATCTTGTAAAATTAAACGTTATTGAGGAGAAATGTGAGAGGCCATAAAAATGTCTTTTAATAGTTCATTTAAAGAGATGAAATGGGAAGATTAAGATATGGCAGAGAGACACACTGCGAGATCAGTGAGAACAAAGATAATGCTGGACTCAATAACACCGGGTCAGGAACAGAGTGGTAGATAAAAAGAGATAAAGAAAGGGGTGATACAGATACAGCAGATCAACAGACAGATGGACACTGTGAGCAGTCAGCAATGCACTTAACTGTAAAACCCACTCACACAAATGTCGCCCCCTCCACCGGCATTTTGCCATTCCTCTATGCCCGCTAGTCTTTCTTTGTCTACTCGCCCCCCTGGACCACACACTCTAATCCACCTGGGCGTGTCAAGCTTTCTATCCCTTCTCTCTATCCATTCCTCTCTCCATCCCGCCATACAGCTCCTGGGATTTAATCTGCCATTCGCAGTGCTCTAGTCCTGCATTAACGCTCTCAATTAGGGTTTAGAGTCCATCTACACTGGGTAATGCACGACAATCGGGCAGGCATGGAAGCAGGCGGGAAAAGTCACTTACAGTATGCGACTAAAGCCAGATGGCCAGCAGCCTACCAATGCTCGGCCAAAGAGACAGAAAAAGGGAAAGGAAGGATGAGCACCAAGGAGACTCAGCGATAGAAGAGAAGGCAGGGTCTGCCCTACATCCCCTACATACGGCTGGTCACATGGCTCCAGTATGTTGGATAACAAACAGTGGTAACCTTGAAAGCCCTCCCGTAAAGTCCCCGCTCTCCTTCCCTTCTTCTTCTCGTCTGTTTAACACAATAACAAACTCTCCACTGTGCTTCTTTCCATCTCTCCGCCCCGGGCCTCCCTCTTCTGTTGGTGCTGCCATTCGTTACCCCTCATCAATTACCTCTTTATTAAATATTTGCTTTGGCAGGGTCATTCTGTGGCAGATTTTTCCTTATTCAATTCTACTCCAAATACACAACGATGCTTAACTAGCTAAACCCACAGTACCCTTCTAACACACACTCATGAACACATTCATAATGCACCAACAGCCGTGTAATGTATTAGCTAGAGATCTCGGGCTGGCTCTGAAGACAAACACAGACCTCGGTGTGTGTGAGAGAGCGTGTGTGTGTTTCCTTTAATCAGCCAACATTTTGGAGGATCTGGGCTCGCTGAGGTTGGGAACCACATCGCTACGTTATCCAGGGCCTTAGGGTCCATGTCTTTAATTTAGTAGCTGTGGTTGGGCAGAGTGTAACCTGATAAAACTATTTTAAATGATAGAGTAGCCATCTGGCTGTCTGGCTTCACTGTATAGCTTGGGTCGGGGGAACTGACTGGTACTGATGGAGCTGGTGGGTTAGTGGGTTCTCTGTAGATGGTTGGAAACCAAATCACACACATGCCGTCTCTAGAACACACACTTCTGCAATAAATGACCTTCCTTTGTTTGTAGCAACTGTATCCACGTGTTTCTTCCTGTTTCTCACACACACACACACACACACACACACACACACACACACACACACACCACACACACACACACACACACACACACACACACACACCACACACACACACACACACACACACACACACACACACACACACACACACACACACACACACACACACACACACACACACACACACACACACACGCACACACACAGCTACATACTTGTCAGGGTTGTAGACATTGAGCTCCTCCAGAAACAGGCTATCGTTCAGGATGCCGCTGTTCATGTTGGCCAGGAACTTGACAATGATGCCTTTCTCAGATCCCAGGAAGACTACTGTGTGGTTGTTATAGGGACCCGCCTCATTGTCCACCACAATGCGAGTAAGACGATACCTGGAAAAGGAATATAAAGTGAAATAAGTTTATCAGTCAATTGGTCAGACAGTTTTCCCATCAGAGAACAGCGTTTCCGCCAGGGGGGCGTCTTGCCGTCATTTGAAAAAAAAAAAAGATTCAAGAGAAGATTGAGAGTTTTTAATCGCTTGAAATGACGAAAAGGAAAAAGGACAAGGACATCCCTCTGTTGGAGGGGTAAAGGAGTCTGGTGGGATTATTTTCGCTGCCAGCATAGCGTGTTCCTGTGACGGAAAGTGTACTGCCGGCGAGCCTTGGCGGGGGGTGCTAGTGAAGCACGCGCGTGAACTGCGAGCACCTGAGCCTCGCAGCGGCGAAACTGAGGCTCCGTGGTAAACTGTGGTAAAATGAAGAGCCGTTTAGGAGCCGAAAGAGCCGGCTCTTCTTAGTGAGCCGAGCCAAATGATCCGGCTCACTAAAAAGAGCCGGAATTCCTATCACTAATACGTAAAGAGATAGTATCTACAGTATAAGGGACGTCTCAATTCAAAATGCAAGTCACGTGACAAGACGTGACGTCACACACCCCCCCACCCCGCTCTCGGGGTGGACGCCCTCTCAGCCCTGGTCTGGCGGAAACACTGTCAGAGGAGCTACAGATGGTGATGAAAGACCTATGCACTCTACCTCAGCGAGATTTCTACTGGGTCACATTCAAAAACATGTGATTCAAATTGCATCAAAAAAAGAAATACTAGCAGCTAGAAAGATTAAGAAATAGAACAACAATACAATTGATTAACATAATTTAGCAAATAATAGTTTTGTAATTAATCAATCAATTGATGTGCCTTTAATCATTCATGTCAGTCTAAGAAATAATAGGAGAAACAGAAGGAGACAATCTTTAAAATCTCAATAATGGATTGTTATGTAAACTCAATCACATTGCATCAGGGCATTTAAAAACAAAACAAATACAACAACAGTTGTCAGCTATATTCTATTTTCTAATTGACAGCTGCTGATCACACAGTTTGGTCTAAGCACCAGGTGGATGAAACTCCATTTTCATTTCATTATCTCTATAAAAAAACATATCAAGCAGATTCAAGTTAGCAGTCAGACACCTGTTTGGAGCTGAGCCATATTGTGCGCGGGGGTGTTGTTTGTGATCAGATAACAAGAACATGTTTTAAGAAATATCTCTTGAGGCTATTTACCTTAACCATCTGATTTCATTGAATAACAGATGCCGTTATCTCTATCTCAATTAGTTTCAGGGCCATGAAAGACTTAATGTTATGGAAACGGTATATACCTGCACATTGGTGGGTTTCCAGCAAATGCTTGTTTTTGGGGATCAAACGATTATAGAAGAGAAAACATGACACATCTTCTTATCCCATCTACCATTTCATTTTCTTTAATTATCTCTTTAAATGTTTTATATCACTGGCTTTATCCAATCAAAAATAACAGCAATCTAGAGGACTATTGTGGTTTTGATAACAGAAGCTCCAAGGACTGTGTCAATGGGATTTGATTCCAGCGAAATAATGCAATCTCAAGGACGAAGACATTCACTGTCTTTCCTATTCAGGATAATAGAAATCTCAAGAGGGGGATTCATTGTGCCCAGCCAGCTGAGGTCTCTGCCTCAGCACAGCATGTCTCAGGACAGAAAAGCTTTTTCAAATTTGCAGTAAAAGCTCTTGCAGGATATCGGGGGGTTCTCTCTAGGGTGAAACAAGGATCAAAGCCTATTACTAATTTGATTTCCAGTTGACTTCAGCTCAAGAATGGTCTTACAGTACGAAAGGACTGTGACATATGTCATAAAAGTCCTAACTCATCTTCCAACCATGTATGCCTTCATAAGGTTTTTTAGCTTATGTAATGCCTCTAACTAGTGCTTCCGACTTGCGTGAAAGGCTCTGTTCATCATGATGTAATTTAGCATCAAATGAAGTAGTCTGATTGCCGATTATGTAAAGACAGAAACAATGCGTTATTTATAACATGTTTTTTATGATATAGTGCACTAATTAACAGAGAGTTGTCGGGATAACCTTGATGAAAGCTGTTCCTATTCTGACTAAGGCAGCGCAGTATGTAGGTCAGACCTCAGCAAAGTAGCAGCAAGATGTGATACCATGCAAATTATTTGTAAAACCTATGAAGAAGTCTTTATGTAGCTCATCTTTTAAGGGATGTTAACACCACTGAAGCCTGTCAAAGGTATAGCAAGCAGTCCTGACCCTAAACCTTCAGTAGCTACAATTCAGAACCAGGACCAATTTAACGCTAGATTATTTTACTTTTTACCAAATGCTCTGTCAGCTAGTTTTGCCTTGCCGATGGAATGGCAGTGTGCTGTCGTATTCCCACAGAGGCTGGCTGAAATGTCTGTGTAGTGTAGCAAAAAGCCAGACAGACCTTTGTGATCAAACGGCATCAGCCACAGTGCACTGGCTTTTGGGAAAGGGGCTCAACTCCAGAAACTCAGGAGAAAAGCCAACCACAGAACAAAAAAAAAATCTTTCACTCCAGTATCATCTCTTTGAAATATCCTCTGAGGATTCAAACAGGCAATTTGTTACAAAGACTGAACATAGTTGAAATTGTCTTTAAAATAAGTGCTTGTATTAAACATTAAAAAACATAACTAAGAATTGATATAGTTTACTCCGTTTTGATCACATCACTGCGGCCAACTTGGGAGAGAGATAGTAACATGAAGATCAGTGTTTCTTCTACTCCAGCGAAAATAGGTCAGCGGCTGGTTAATGGTGGAGTACCACAGTGTTTTAATGAGCTTGACTCTCAAAGCAGCACTTCACGTAATTATTGTCCTGGGTTGAAGAGGCTCATAGACCTCTGATGACAATGATCTTTGGAGTGTGTAACACTTACCGGACCATGGTCTTAAGGAACCAGGGCCTGTTGGCAATTGAGGGCACAGCCTCGTCCATCAGAGGATGCTGTTTGATGAAGTTGAGTGTGTCATCGGGGAACTCATTGGATACCTTGTACCTCTCCATGGATGGAATGCCTGCACAATTGCCGGGCCTGAAAATTAAGAGGAGAAAGGAGAAAGTTATGAGAAGGAGGGAAGTTGGAAAAAGGGAAAGATAAAAATACATTGACTCTGGGGGAAATCTTTCACAGCCAGAGCTCCAATAGGAGAGTTTAAATTCCTTGGAATCAAGAGAGTGCACTTAAAATAACTAAACGTTCATGCCAAGGCTTTGGTCAGAGAAGAAGACACGAGATGTCTTCTTTCTCTGGAAAAGGACACAAGATGTCTTCTTTCTCTGGAAAAGGACACAAGATGTCTTATTTCTCTGGAAAAGGACACAAGATGTCTTCTTTCTCTGGAAAAGGACACAAGATGTCTTCTTTCTCTGGACTCAGTAAAGCACGAAGGCATCTATCTTCCTGATCCTTTTATAGGGAGTTGGTGAGTTGCTTGTTAAAGAGAAGCTGCTTTTGATAGCATATTCCCTTTGCAGGCATCTCACCTCTGAGGTCTTGTAAAAAAACCTTTACTGCGTAGTCTGTGATACGCTGCCACACCACATAATCCACACCAGGTCCTAGAAATATTAGCCAGCTGGCCACTGAATGTCTGATCCTGTCAACATGTAAGTTACCCTAAAAAAGATATGTGTATACTCAAGAGAACGGTGTATTCATCATATTAATATTCAGTTTTTAAAGTTGTTGTGTGAAGGCATGTGTATAAAAGGAATAAAGCAGCCATTCTGAGCATGCCTAAGAAAATGTGGCTTGACTTAGTTTAAAAACATGCAAACCTGCAAAACATATTAAGTGCATTAACTAAATGATGTGCATGCTCTTTTCTTCCCAAAAAATATTTAACATCCTCCTTGACATATAAGTTGTGTGGAATCAATGCACTTAACCTCCAAATTGTTATCGTTAAATGAAGGGCCTGCATTTGCAGAACCATTTGTCACAGTGAAAAAAAAATGCAGTAAAAGTCAGTGCTATTACATTTTTCTTTGATGTAGCATTTATGTCAGCGGACATATGGAGAGCAGAACAGTAACAGACATCTCTTTAATTCAAAAATCTGCAAATGATTCAGTATGAGAGTCTAACACATGGAAGAACAGTCTGCTGCGGGGCCAGACCTAGGTGGCATTGTTACAACCCTCCGTCTGTTTGCCTGCAGATAAAAGGTCTGATTGCACCAGAGTATGAGAAATAAATCAATCGCATCAATCTCTGCAGAGAAAACGGCGGATATATCGGATCTTTGCTGCGGCTGACCTTGTTGAACATAAACAGGTAATTACATGCTAATTGAGGGAACTCGCACATAAACACTAATGAATGCACAGAGTACAGCATAGGCTCTCTTTTGGTGAGGAACCAACTCCTCAGCCATAAGGGAACACACACACACACACACACACACACACACACACACACACACACACACACACACACACACACACACACACACACACACACACACACACACACACACACACACACACACACACACACACACACACACACACACACACACACACACACACACACACACACACACACACACACACACACACACACACACAGGGTACTAACAATTATCGTGCCCCAGATCTTTGTAGTAAATCTGTTTTTTTCTCTTCTAGAGGAGAGTAGAGCCGCTCTTAGGGTGCTAATTAGCGGGCAATAGATGGGAGATTGATCAGGCTAGTGCATTTGTGGAATTAGCCAACCATCTGTAAAATGATCTCATGCTTCATTTGTTGATACAAAGCGCTTCTTTGATTCAGCTGCGTGTGGGGGAGAGGTGAGGTAATTGGTTCGGGGGTGCAACTGGTAAAAGAGGTGATAACTGCATACAGTCTGTGGGTGTGACGCAAGGTGACTTACAATGTGCAATCCCTTGGTGAAAAAAGTAGGGGCGTATAGAAAAATGACGAAACGGGAGTTTGAAATGTGTTATCATTAACACATCGTAGTTCAACAAGTCTAATGCATTGATAAGGTTGCCATGTATGTGTGTATGTGTGTGTAGGTGGCTGCATGTGTTTGTGCGCATGTGTGTGAGAGCCAAGCGTGAGAAGAGAGGAAGAGTGAGACTGAATATACTGTATGTGTGCAGCTATGTTCAATTCTATGTGTGCTATGTGTGTGTGAGAGTGTGTGCTGTGGGTAATTAACTTCTGTTGTACCTTGGCTTGGGAACCTTGTCTTCAGGAAAAGGCGTCCAGGTGGAGTCTGAGGATTTCTGCTCTTTGAAACGCCCTGTGAAGGTGTTGGCCACCTCAGCCATGTCATAGGCGCACACCGCAGAGCCTGGAATACTGCCATGACACACAGGAATAAAATTAAACTCACATAAACAATCCTCTCAAGTGAACATATCAAAGAAACACCTTGCCAAATTTCGACTATCACCTAATAGCAGAAACATGGATTTACAATTCCTTTTAGAGGGTTTAAACCCCTCGAGGATGGCTCATTTTAGCTGTTGCATGTGGGTGATACAGGCCAGTTTGTAATGTTGCCCAGGCTTAGGAAAGAAATACCCTCTATTTAATAAAATAGCATTGGTTACTTTTTATATTTCTAGTAGCGAATAATGGTTCTACTGTATTGATTACCGTATGAATGCTCTTATGTCAGTGGTTATCTTGTACTTTTGCATTTCTATGAGTGTCAGTGTCTGCGCTGCCAAGCCTAAATGAGGACACACATTCCATCATCCCTCCAAGACTCCAACCCTCCAAGACTGGGTTTCCCCAAAAGCCTCAAGGCATTAAAGTTCATCACAAGTCCACTGTTGGGCAAGAAATATAGACAGATTATCTTATTATTGCCTTTCATTTAAGGGGAAAAACACCCATCTTGTGATAGAAGCGGAGCCACTGGCTTATTTCCGTCTGTTTGGATTCAATGCATAACAGATTGCTGAGTCACTTTTCTATTTTTCATGCATCTGCTCTCATAAATTAGAATTGAAACTAGGAATTGTTTATTCTTTATTCTCATAAAAGAGAAATCTCTCTCAGCTGGCTGGATTTTCTAGCTGTTAAGTCATTGGTTAAAATGATGTAGACATCAGGGAGACAAATTACACAAGGGCAGTATTATAGAGAGCAAGGTCAGAGTGGTTAATTCTTGGCTAAGCTACCAAATTACAGTAAATACCCAAAGTTAGACAATCCTACGTCTGTTTATATGGAGCTGCTAACAGCAGATAGATGGTAGCGAGCCAGCCAGTGAGCAAGTGAGAGGGTCAGACAGCAACACAGCAAACTAGACAATTAAACGACAAGCCCCGAGTGCTTCCTATAGTCTGAATGTTCTCCCTCCAATTTCACCCCCTGACTATGAAATAGAAAATTAATGCCAGGATCTAAACCGGCGCTTATAGACATTTTCAGCAGCTTTGCTTCATTGGGTTTAATGTCCATTAACCATGCTCAATTGCATTGTCACAAGCAATTGTCTTATCTGCTCAGAAGCAGCCAGAAAATGGAAAATTACAATATGTGGGAGCTATCAGCAAAGCTATGGCTTTGTGGTAATTTTCAATTTAGATAACAACTACCCCTTTCTATGAATATGAAAGCAGCTCTGAATATGAATTTTAAAAGGGGAAATAAGATGAAACACCTGTATGTCAAAAGGGCAGCACAGCTGTTTGACAGAAGATGTATGATGTTGACCCAGTAGTCTCAGGACTGACATGTTGCTGAGCGGCACGGCAGGGCATTAGCAAAGGTCACACTGTCATAATGATGATAAATTCAAGGCATTCTAAAAGCATTTCAAAGCACGAAAGATAATCGTATTAATTAATGGAAAGTGAAAAACAGTTGTTGACACGTGAAGTCATTTGAGACAAGGGAAAAGCTTAATAAAAAATATGTGAAAAAGTCGTGTCCGCTCACATCTTTGTAGATTTATCAATACCTTATTATGTTTTTTGTACCTGTTGTAAGGTGTAGAGAAGGTTGCCATGACGATGTCCCTCCCGTTGATGCGGATGACTTCTGTCACAGCCTGCAGGATGTTGAAGTAGAAATGGGAATCACCGGGGATCGAGCAGTTCATGCGAGACTTGAGAAATGAGGTCCACTGCTTCTCCAGGACACGGGGCGAGCCCCCTTTGTCGTTCTTACAGACCCTGGCTACACGAGGAAACACCACCTGATGTAGACAAACACAGTAGAAACGTTATATTTTAAAAGCTCTGGGTTATGTAGCAACAGTCATCTATGTCACATCTTCAGTCTCTTGTAATAACTGTTACGAATTGGATTCATGATACTTTTCACAATTATTCCATGCATTTTTCATTTCATGTCAAAGCCTGGAGCCTACATTACAAACCATGTAATTAACCACCAGCATTGTGTTATGCTAGTGCGGGCTGTAAGCCTCAAGCAGAGTTACAAAGTGGACTACAGAGATCTGGTGAGCTCACTGCTTTAGAACTCCATACCACCAGATATGTTTCAACTAAAACAAGTTGCCTAAAATGATATTCCTTGAGGTAAACTATTAAAAAGGGATTTACTTTTTCTTATGCAGTTGTAATACCCAAGACCAACCAACAGACTTTAATGGATAAAAGTGGAGTGCCCTTTGAAAGCATTCCCTTTTTGTCTTTTACACTTGGTTGTATTGGATTCCTTTTCTGCATCTAAATAGCCTATTACAGTTTTATTTGATGGGTTAAAAGCTAAACACACACACACACACACACACACACACACACACACACACACACACACACACACACACACACACACACACACACACACACACACACACACACACACACACACACACACACACACACACACACACACACACACACACACACACACACACACACACACACACTCATTCATTCATTCATTCAATTCCCAGCAGAACACACTATTGTGCCTCTTTGGGTCGTCAACACTCTTAATCCAACATTTTATCACTTTATTGCAAATTAAAGACACAGAAGAGTAAATTAGTGTGTTTGATATGCTGTTAAAGAGTCAGCACCTGGCAACAGAAAATGTAAAAGTATACAGCTTCAAATAGGAGCTATGCTGTAATTACATCTTTGCTGTATGATCACACAGTCAGTATTGTAATTAGTGTATGTCACACTATACTTAACAGCAATAAATCTAACCCTGACCTGAAATTGTGCTGTAAAGTAAACAGTGCGAACATGCATTTAAACCAGATCTCTGCACACGGCTGCAGACCACACATAAACACACCCTCACCCATGCAACCTGTGCATAAATGTTCCAGAAAAGCACAAAAAAGCACATATTCATTCAATCACGCTGTCAAAGACACACGCTTACATGGGCCTGTTCACTGTGAGATTATAGAGCGTTGAGATACCAGAACAAGTTTTACACAAAGCAGGCGAGACTGTCAAGCTGAATGTGGAATAGTTTCAGCTTTACATATACCAGTTCATGTTCTCACACACACACAACGTACAAATAAACAGATCACACACACTGAACAAATACTTCAGCCGAGGCTTGCTAATTTCATTACTTGTTAATGTAATAACATATTTGTCCTTCTGCGTTTTCCTAATAACAATCTAACATAAAAACTTACCTGCCACAGAAGATAGATCAATTTGCCATAAAGCACAAATGGCTGCTTACAATGTCAGGGAAGGCCAATTTACTTAATAATAATGGAAAGATATCACTCACTAAATGTTAAATTGCTCTCTGCACCATCAGTTCCACAACCACACGCATAATTATACTGACATAGCTTTCAAAACACCCAGCAGATTGAGAGGCCTGATCTGTATTCATGCTCTGTATAACACATGCCTGTCACTTCCGGCAGTGAATCCATTATTTCTGTGTTTCTCGTTACCTCTGCTCTGTTCTTGTCCTCTCTCTTTCTCACCCTCTCTTGTGTGGTTCCATAACTTTTTTCTGAAGAATACATATTGAGTAATTCATTTCCATAGCGGATTTTCTCATACCTGGTATCCAATTAAACTCTCTCAGGGCATCCAAAACTGCATTGAGAAGATGAATAGAAACATTTCACTGTAACTGTTACACCTGAGGAAAAGCCATTTCTTTCCTCAACCTTTCCTCTTCTGATCCGTCTCATTTCTCACAGACTCTTGGGTCGAGTTCCTCTTGGGAAACTTTGAGACGATAGGTCAAATAGGAGCTGCACCAACGGTGCAATTTAAGCGTTATTTTTAGACTTCAAAATAGGATCTGCCGACATCCACAGATTTTTCTCTTTAGATCTATTTTAGGTCCTGCATCCTGACCAGTGCTTATCTGAAATCTGTATCTGAAAAATGTTTGGCCACCTTTCAGCTCCTGAAAGCCTTCTTCCACTTATGTGATACACCCATATCCTGTTAGTTTCCTCGGGCACTTCCTGATTCTCTCGGTAAATAGGAAGTCACCTCTGATTACATTTCAAACAATAGCTGAAGAGTACTGCCTGTGCTTACCTTTCCCATTGTGTTGTACTCCATAGCAATTTCCCGGTAGAAGAAGTAGATGAAGTCCCCGTAATCGACTGCCTGGATAAAGTATGGCTCTGCAGGGGGAAAAATATATAAATTAAATGTGTGACAAAGAGACGTCGTCACCGTGACAAACCAGTTCTGACACCATATTTCACAGTAAACAGGCAGAATATCTGTCATATTATGCAGAAAAGCACCGACTGTGAGCCTTGAGTGCCTCTATCTATCATCCATCATATCAGAGCATGAATTTGCATGCCCTAAAAGAGGGATCTCTCTATTGAGTTTTGACAGGCTGGACTTGTGCTTGTTTCTCCCCAGGGCAGAGCAATTTCCTGGCTACATCAACTACCACTGCAGGCTGGCAAAATGACAGTGTCAAACAGAGCGAGCGCAATTAGCATAAGTGCTCCAGCTCTTCATACCTAGATTCATACACCGAGACACACAAATCATAAATCACACCACATGGTCAGGCATGCATGTCAAAACAAAAGTCTGTTTTCTAGCTTGTCATTCAGCTTGTTGCTATCCAAACCGAGAGACCTTGTTTATGTGTCCCTTACTCACCTTTCAGCCATTTGGAGTCGTGTTTGACAGTGCGCAGAGTCGGACTGTCTCCCAGGCTACGATAGATGACCGAATCGATCGCTAGAAAGTCCGTTACGGTGGCCGAGTACAGCCTGCCACCTGGAGAGGGAACACAAAGAGCGATAAGAGGAAAAGATGGAGATATAGAGGGCAGAAGAATTAAGTGAGAATGAAAGAGGAAGCCATAAAGAAAGAGGATAAAGGGGTAGAGAGGTAAGTTTAGTGAAAAGAAAAACATATAAAGCCACTTAAAGAATCTTGCTCACTGTGGCTGGATAAACAAACACATTTCAGATGGCTTAGACCTAGAAAATGAATGAATCATACAAACCGAAGAGACTCTCTGATGGACAAGGACGAGGCTGTACACACACTTAAACATCTTGCAAACACACTTCAAAAGCACACACAAACACTGAAGCCTTGCATTCACACATAGTCTCAGAGTCCCACAGAAACCCACAGTTATAGGCACGTATGTACACACACACATGCTCCACAAACACAATCCACGACCAGCATGACCTCAGCCTGCCTTGGCTATAACCACAGTGGAAACTTAAACTACATAATTGAAAGGATAGCAGTCAGAGGAACCCTCTTGATTACTCAGTGCTTCCAGCTCCTTCCAAGCAGCTCTGCTACACATTAACTGGTCAAGCTAGGCGTTCACTTTCCTCCTAGGCTTTAAACAGGCAGGGACAGCTCATCAATACCGCCATAAATCGCTTCACAGCAAATACGAATGGGACTGAATGTCTTTAGCAGCCTGCGTTGAATCAGAGGAATCTCACCACACCAACAGAAAGCTGACTCATTCGTGTCCCATCCGTTTGGGACTTATTTTAGATCTTGTGCATTTGAAAAGAAAGTTAACAAAAGAGAAAAAGTACAGTAAAAGCAGGAGAAGGATGTTTCTGTATTTGCTGTTACCAGAGCACTACTAACATGTTTCCAAAAGGTTCAAAAAAGCTTTGAATTCTTGATGCAGATCAAATGTGGTCTCCAGGTTGTTGATTTGCTCTAGTGCATGAAACTTGGTTTGCCTTCCATACTTGACATGTTGTCAGGGTTTTGCCGTTAGAATAAACCACAGGGTATTAAAAACAATATTTAATACAACCACAACTAATCCCCTTGACTCAACTTTCCCATGTTCCTATGTTTAATAAATGCAGAAAGGAGAAACATTAGATGAATGTTTTTGCCTCATGGCAGTCAGTAAGTAGAACCACTATCATAAATACTACGTCTATTTTCACCTCATGGAAACTCTCACGTTCAGCGGCAGGAAAGGACTTCAAAAAGACATTGTAAAACATAATCAAGTACTTCAAAGTCTCCCAGATAAGTTCATTGTTAATTTGACATGTCCGATTTAATCTTACCTGCAAAGAGGGCGACATTGGCGTGCTTGGCGTCATATGGGCAGCGTGCCATCCCACTGATCTCCTCCCCCAGAGCCTCCAGGGTGTCCAGCTAGGGTCACAAAAGAGGTGAAAGGTCAACAACAGGTCAAGACAATGTAGTGTTGTCAAACAAAACAATGGACTTGGAATACAACTTAGACAGGAAAGGTTGGTTCCCAGATGGAGGGGAAAGGATCTAAAGGAGGAATGTGTCCGTCTATCTCTGACCTTAGCTAAAAACCTTTGGTGTTTTTCTGAGAGCTGTCAGAGCAGCGCATCTGGGAGTGTCTAGGAAACTGTCACTAAGTGAGATTAACAAAAACTGACATTTTCCAGAGCAAAATGTTCCACAGTATGGGTGGATGTGGATTTGCTTTCCTCCTGCCATCCTTTGTTCTTCAACTGTACAGGAATGAAAAAATATTTTTTAAAACCCTCAAGATAGATCTTTAAACGTATATACTGCTGTGCTTTCCCCTGCCCCCATTTCTTAAGTTTGTGCTTTTGCTGTGAAGACGAATTAAATGGGCAGAGTAAAAGTGGGTGAGCACATGGCCCTGAGCGGGGAACGTGAGCATTTTTTACTAAACCACAGTAGTTTTTAAATAGTATATTGTACGGCGTCATTATTTTATCATTTGCAGCCTCAACTTTGGCTTTTGCTTGGAGCTTTTTCTTTGGCAAGTCTTGTTCCTATATTTTCGGGGGGTTTAGTGTCCACACCTACATAATGTACAAAGTCTGTTTTTAGCACTTAGAGTGCAGTTCCTCCAAATCTACAGCTAATTGTGGTATTCAGTCACTAACTATTCCCATTTCATGAGCTATTTTGAGGCCTTGTCCTTTGTTTACAGTAGGAAGCGCTTCTGGAGCAGTTTAGGTCTTAGTGGGATGATCTTTGTGAATTGGAATTTAAACAAGATTTTCTTGTTTTGCGCCCAGTTTTGGTACAGTGCTATTCCAGGGCATGGCGGCAGATCATAGTGGGTGAAAGGTCAGTATCATCCCACCATGGTTTGGCTTGTTGTCCCCAGCTTGCCTTAGGACACTCTCTTACCCCGTCTAAAGGCCAGAGAGGCATAAAAAAGCCACAAAGAGAGACAGAGAGAAGAAAAGCCTCACTGAACTGGCCAGAGGCTGAGGTCACGGAAGATTACTGAACACACTGTTTACCTACTCAGTTTACAACACATGGTCATTTTTCTTCGATATCTCTGTCTCTATCTCTCTCATACTTGACTTCCCTGCTTCCTCACTTTTCCCTCTCTCCTGACAAAGACGAGCGAAGCTTGCCAAGGCTGCAAACTGCTTACGCCGCCCTTTCTGGTTTCTAAACAGGTCATTTTGTTTTCTATTCCTGTCTCGGCGGAAACGGTTATCATCTGCCCACTAAAAAGGTCACACACACTCCAGCGCAATGCTGGAAAAGCCTGCCAGAGAAATTGTTGAGGCTGATTTGGCAGAGAAAATTACAAGTGACCTTTTACAACAAACACAGAACCACCAGCAACAGCACATTTCTCCATTTCTCATTCCTTCTGTTACTCAAGAAATTATAGGAGGATAATACATGGAGGCACGCTGGTTTAATGATGTATATAGTCATTAGACAGAGGAGACTGTAGTTATATATTAGCTTGTGTAAATCATAAAGGACATGGAGGCTGAAGGTCAGGTGCGTCCAGTGAATCAGAGCGTCTAGGTGTACGGAGCACTGGGGGAACTGGGTTTAGCTTGAATCGTCAGCAGCTTCTGTATCAGCTACCTAACACAAACAGTCCCTCCTCTTCTGACACATCAAAACCACACACTCGCATATCTCTCACGCTACTACCCCCACCCCTCTGTCTCCTAAGTTGATTTCACCGAGGCAGTGACCTCTGTCTACTGGGCTTGGCTGGCTGTCACCAATCTATTCCTGCCTTTTGAACAGAGGAAGCCACTCCCAGCCATGCCGCAGATAAACACAAAACTCCGTCTCCTGTCAACCCGCCAAACAACAGCCAAGTGCATGGTGTTAGCCTTGTCAGAAGCAATATCAAATATTTAAAAAATGGGCAATAGCAACCCATAAATCTGCCAAGGTAAAACACAACATTTTTAACATTAACATAAATAAATGTGATGTTTTAACAGCCAGATAGGATTTTTTAACCTTGTTTACCAGGCAAACCTTATTAGGCTGTCAACTCTACTGGCTCCAGAAAAGAAAGAAGTGCTTCAGCTTTGTAGAAGCACAACTCAAAGTAATGGGAAATGAACTGTAGTGCTGTCACACTTCATCAGCACTGCCTTTAAAACACACTATTCTGCGGGGATCTATTGTAGCTTAGCAGACAAATGTACGGTAACCTTGGCTCGGGGTGCTGTGTATCTAGATGAATGAACAACTCAATAGTGTTTTCCATAGGCTATATGCTAATTAATTAGACAAACATAATGTAGTTCCAAAACATGCCCATCAGGAGAGTAATAATTGGTTCAGCATCAGCTTCTTCGCTCAGGGTGAGGGACACATTCTGCTTTTTTTTTGGGCTTTATTTATCATTGCTGAAGGTTTTGTGAAAACTCACTCTGGACACATTTAGTGTAGACTGAGCCAGTGTCCCACTTCTTAATTGTTAACTTGAATCTGTTTCCTTGTTATTCTCATGGGTAAGGACGGTAAAATGCAAAAAGCTAAATGCATAACATTTGTTTGTGTCAGAAAGGGCAGCCACTGAAAGTTAAAGAAAAACATTTGTGGCAAGTTGATAGATTTCAGATTGCTATCCTACAGTTTGCTGTATTGAATCCCCAGACATTGATTTTAATGCAACCCATATTTCCACCTGCACAACTTTCTCCCTCGATAAAGGTCAAGTGCACAAGTTCACACCTGGGCCAAGAGTGGATGTGAAATCCAAACGAGTGCACATCTCCCTGGGAGATTAATACTCATGGCCCAATTCTCTGCAACCTGTTTCTGAGCCTTTGGAAGATGAACCATTTCCTGACTACTTTTTCACGAGAGCAATGAAGTGTAGTCTTTGCAGCTGTCAAAATAAATACCTTATTTTAAGCCCTACATTTATTTGACCCTCAACTTCTCAATTATAGTTTTTTGTTTAACTATATTGGAGAACACACATTGTACAAACATGACAATAAATGTATTAACCAATGAATTACCTTTTACACTTTATTTTAATGTCATTCTTTACAATAGTATATACATATTCTGAAATAGCTTTAGTAAAGAAAGGCATGTGTGGGGTTTTTTTCCCTGTTGATAAACCTAAACCCCCTCAGTGTGCATTAATCATATTTCAAATGCACAGATGGAATTTCCCAGTACAAATAGGTCCACTAGTATCAAGTAGAATATGCATCACCTGGGACCCACTGCCTTCAAGCCTCCCCACAGATTCCCCACAGATTCCCCCCGCTTCGCCAGGCAACAGGCGATGAAACTGATTCAAGTCGTTCATCAGCCCAGCTGGATGGGGTGTTTATTATTACGACACAGCAAGGGAGTGACAGAGGGAGAAAGCAACAGAGGGGAAGATGGCGGAGTGGTGGGAGCAATAGAGGGGGGGGAGGAATTAAGGCTGGCAGGAGAGGAGGAGAAAGGGATGAGGGCAGTAGGGACGGAGGGAGGATGAATAGAGGAAGAGTTTGGTGCTGTGTAGTGCCCAGGGAGAGGACTGTGGCATTGCTGCCAAGGTGTCTGTTTATGCATGTGTTTGCTTGTGTTCATAGTAGCAACACAAGGTGAGGGGCGAATAACAAGATAGAGAAGGGAAGAGAATATTGATGGGTTTGTAAAAATAAAAAGGTAACCAGGCAGGAAAGGTGTTAGATCAGAAGACAGCGTGTGGTGTAGCTGCCCCCTCTGTCTCCCCCTCCTCCCCTCCCACTCGCCCTTGCAGTGTTGTTGAT